CACTCTTTGTTATATTGCAGCCATTTTCTAAAATCATTTAAGTTCATTTTTTTCCTCATTAATGTACACACAGCACCCCATATTGACAGAAAAACACAGCATTGTTGACATTTTTGCAGATTTATTAAAAAATAAAAACTGAAATATCACATGGTCCTATGTATTCAGACCCTTTGCTCAGTATTTAGTAGAAGCACCCTTTTGATCTAATACAGTCATGAGTCTTTTTGGGAAAGATGCAACACGTTTTTCACACCTGGATTTGGGGATCCTCTGTCATTCCTCCTTGCAGATCCTCTCCAGTTCTGTCAGGTTGGATGGTAAACGTTGGTGGACAGCCATTTTTAGGTCTCTCCAGAGATGCTCAATTTGGTTTAAGTCAGGGCTCTGGCTGGGCCATTCAAGAACAGTCACAGAGTTGTTGTGAAGCCACTCCTTCGTTATTTTAGCTGTGTGCTTAGGGTCATTGTCTTGTTGGAAGGTAAACCTTCGGCCCAGTCTGAGGTCCTGAGCAGTCTGGAGAAGGTTTTCGTCCAGGATATCCCTGTGCTTGGCCGCATTCATCTTTCCCTCGATTGTAACCAGTCGTCCTGTCCCTGCAGCTGAAAAACCCCCCCACAGCATGATGCTGCCACCACCATGCTTCACTGTTGGGACTGTATTGGACAGGTGATGAGCAGTGCCTGGTTTTCTCCATACATACCGCTTAGAATTAAGGCCAAAAAGTTCTATCTTGGCCTCATCCGACCAGAGAATCTCTTGGAGTCCTTCAGGTGTTTTTTCATGTGTCTTGCACTGAGGAGAGGCTTCCGTCGGGCCCCTCTGCCATAAAGCCCCGACTGGTGGAGGGCTGCAGTGGTGGTTGACTTTCTACAACTTTCTCCCATCTCCTGACTGCATCTCTGGAGCTCAGCCACAGTGATCTTTGGGTTCTTCTTTACCTCTCTCACCAAGGCTCTTCTCCCCCGATAGCTCAGTTTGGCCGGACGGCCAGCTCTAGGAAGGGTTCTGGTCGTCCCAAACGTCTTCCATTTAAGGAATGGAGGCCACTGTGCTCTTGGGAACCTTAAGTGCAGCAGAATTTTTTTTGTAACCTTGGCCAGATCTGTGCTTTGCCACAATTCTGTCTCTGAGCTCTTCAGGCAGTTGCTTTGACCTCATGATTCTCATTTGCTCTGACATGCACTGTGAGCTGTAAGGTCTTATATAGACAGGTGTGTGGCTTTCCTAATCAAGTCCAATCAGTATAATCAAACACAGCTGGACTCAAATGAAGGTGTAGAACCATCTCAAGGATGATCAGAAGAAATGGACAGCCCCTGAGTTAAATATATGAGTGTCACAGCAAAGGGTCTGAATACTTAGGACCATGTGATATTTCAGTTTTTCTTTTTTAATAAATCTGCAAAAATGTCAACAATTCTGTGTTTTTCTGTCAATATGGGGTGCTGTGTGTACATTAATGAGGAAAAAAAATTAACTTAAATGATTTTAGCAAATGGCTGCAATATAACAAAGAGTGAAAAATTTAAGGGGGTCTGAATACTTTCCGTACCCACTGTACACATCACACACATTTCCAGGTTAATTTGATCTGAATTCATTGAATGACAATCATATTACATCTGTTTGTTTGCAAAGTGCTCCTGTTCTTACTCAGAATCTGAGTTACGTGATTTTAAGGGCCAGAATCTGGCCCAGATAATTAACCACATTATTTACACCAGTAATGAGGTAAATAGTAATCAGCACAAAACGTAAATGTGAGTCAGAAAAAATAACAGTCCCAATTATGTTTGTAAAACAATGTTAAACTGGTTAAACTAGCATGTGTGATGATGCATTCTGACTTGATGAATGAATCTCTATCTCTTTGTCTTTTATTTTCTCTCTTTTTATTACTTCAGCCCACCTGTATAGTGACGGAAGAGTGATATCGGAGTACCAGTTCTGGATGTGCAGTGTGTGTAAGCACTGTGCTGTGGAGCAGGAGATCACACAACACAACTTCTGTCCTCTCTGTCACTCCCCAGTGGGGTAGATTTTCCCCATCTCTTTTCTAAGCTCAGCTCTTGCTCCATCAAATGTCAGTCTTTTTGATGTACTGTGGGACACAAACTCTGCCATAGGGGTAGGCTTAAAATATATACGATATATAATATTTGGATGTTCAAACAAATGATCATATATATTTAGACATTTAATTTCTTTTATATGGCATTTTCATATAGTTATGTATATAATTACATTATTTTTACTTTACCTAACAATATTCGAGACAAATTTCTCTGTAAATCATTCAAAAAGACATTCTTATGGAATCAGCACATTCCACTCAATTTGACAACTTAAATAAAAATGAGTTAAACATTGTTTAACTGTTTGCAAAGTTAGGAATGAATCACCTTGCTAATAACTTTATGTGTGTATTTGTGACGTTTTTTAGTAAAAAACGAAACAAAACAATGAAACCGATTCAGTGTGTCCTGCTATTTTAGCATTAATCGAACAATAGAACATCAGTTTGCCTTGATGTAATCTTAAATAAATGTTCCTATATTCATCAAAAGACTTCAAAAAGACAATCTCTCAGACTTTGCCGTTCACTTTTGTCAGTTATGATTTGAATTGAGAATTTACATATTTAATTTTAGGCACCTGTCCAGTGAAACTTTTACAGATAATATTTGTCTTTACCTGACTTTCACCTTGTCGTATGTCACGCAATGCTGCCCTCTACAGTCGTTCTCGAGTACTGACGCTTCTGCTTCTGCTTCTGCCAGAATGTACTGTATTATGTAACTTGTTGCATATGCTTGATACATTTATAGTTGTTTCGCTGAGCATAAGCAAATGACTAATATTGACTTGAATTCTATACTCTTTGGCATAAGTGACGGCGTTGGTATTTTTTATAGTTTATTTTTCTTTACGTTTTTTTTGTGTGTGAACATGAGTAAAACGGCGTTCTCTTGACGGCCTCTAGGGGGCATCATCTGTCAATTCCTCTGCACGTGCGACAGGTGCTGCGCGAGGGAGAAGAGCTTTAAATGAAGAAAGTGAACCTGTTCACAAACCACTCGCTGTTTACATGGTTTAATAACGTAACACTCCTTAACGTAACTGATGTAGCCTATATCGATGCTGATATCCTTCCGTCCTGAAATAATTTCTAAATATTAAAATTACACACTTGATGCTCATAAAAGCAGCGAGACGACGATTCTTTTTGCCCTCAAACTTTTCAGTTTTTCACTTTTTTCAGTCTTTTCTTTTTTCTTTTCTTTCACAATATCCATCCGACCTCTGTCTTCTTCAGCAGTAACTCAAGGGATCTTTAATCTCACTCTTTTATTAGTTTTCCAATCCTTTAACTGGCCTTCACGGGTGGTCAAAGTGTCTCTCACTTGCACTGATTTCACCTCTCTGCCCTCCGATTATTTTTCACTTAATCATTGCTACTCAGTGGAGCTTGTGGAGGCGCGTCCTGAAATGCAAAGCGCAAGCGCGTTCCAGCTGCCACGGGCCAGTGACGCAGGGACGCGCAGCTGCCCCGAGGCACCGCGAGTGCGTTAGCGGCACACTATGTGCCAAGTGTCCCACCCGCCACAGTCCGCTGCGGGACATGGGACAAATACTGCGAACGAGCGCACACCGGGCTCGACTTTACCAAGGAAGGCGCTGGACGATGGAAACGTCTTTGCAGTGCCCTGATGCCGTCGGAAAAGAAAGGAAAACAGGTAAACTGATTTTTGCTTCTGTGTACGTAGTTTAGGTTACGCGGTGTTGTTTTTGAACATAACTTTGGTGCTGTCCTTGGTGCTGGAGTTCGACCAGGCAGAGCGCGCGGACATACACACCTTGCAGAAACTTGTCAACGATTGTATATAGGCCTATATGTAATTTAGAAATTCAGTGTTGTACCCAAATTTAACAGTTTGGTGTTTTGAGGTCTATATTTGTGGGAATTCAGTTTTTCTATAGTTACTTCTGTTGCTATCAAATGTTATTTACGTTTTATGTAGTGCAAAATGAATGATTACTACAGTACTACAGTGAGGGCTAAAAGTATGAACCGTATTGAAAATCTGGAGTTTGAAATCTTATTTAAAGCTAGAAATAATATATTTTTAAAAAGAAAAAAGAAATGTTATGACATTAAGTTAAGAAGAAATATACGTTTTTGCACTATTTACAGGTCTATTTAAATGACTCAATTGTTTAAATAAATTGACTAAATAAGTAAGTTTGTGACGTTCATCATGTCATTCTCTACAGACAGTTTCCATTAAAGCACAAGATGCTCTTTGGATGTTTCTCAAATCATGCTGGAGAATGTGATCATCAGGTTTTACACACATTTGTGGAGTTCATGCTGTTGCCATTAAAGCAAAAGAGGAACAAACCAAATACTTTTTGAAAATCAAAGACATTTTGAAACGTCGCTCAAATTTATATGCTGAATATGTAATATTGAATGTTTTTTTGATGCAAATTAATTTTACATTTTCAGTTCAGCCTCTCACTTGATGTTGACGATATATATATGTATATATATATATATATATATATATATATATATATATACGTATATATATATTGTATATATATATATTTTACTTTAATTAATACAATATATACATATATATATATATATATATATATATATATATATATATATATATAT